GAAGAAGGCGCTGTTGTGAAAAAAGATCCCACACTTATGAATAGATTGTACAGAGTATAGGTATAATTTTGCACACACACCCCTCACACCACATGCCCAGCAGCACCTGATGACATCATAGTACGAATGAAAAAATTCTCAAAGGGACATAATGCTCACAAATAAGCATATTTAAATCATAGAGAGTATGCACATCAAAAGGAGATAGTATATGTACTTTTAATGTTAAATAATGAGGAAAAATAAATTTCAAATATAACGAAAAATCATGGCGGCCGTTTTGTAAAATGGCCGTCATGTCCGCCATGACATGATTCCGCGATGGCCCAATATTCAGATTTGTTTAGACAATAAATGTCTATATTTGTACAAAAATTGGTGCTTTTATCACAAAATGCACAATAGGTTGCCTATGCCGCCTGACTATCAACTTTCTTCTTTAACAACATGTAATTGTCTCAGAAAATATTTAAAGGATTAATAATTATATAACTAGTAACACAGCTTCAGGAGGATGTTTAACATAATATGGAGTAGGCTCCAGGAAAAAATATCATTGCTGAGCACTCTTTTTAGACACCAGCTTTTAGGCAGGGTTCGATAAAAGTTTCGTAGATAAAAGTGGAAAACTATCAAGTTTGAACCTAACTAGATGTTCAAAGTATATTATTTTTATGTGTTGTAGTATTTATTTATTGTTTGGGGGTTTTGTAGGATATATTGGCTGTTTTCAAGACCAGTCCATCCGAACATTGAATGGAAAGCATACGTCATCAAACATAATGACTGTGGAAATGTGTAAAGAATATTGTAATAAACAAGATGCTGAATTTTATGGTTTAGAGGTAAATTATCCTATGTTATAGACTAGTTAAATATACTCGATTTTTTTTTTGTATATAAAAGCATTTATTTCAATTTTTGTTAATTGATTATAAAATGTTTATGTCCTTATATCGTAACATTTTTTAAAGTCAGACAGCGAAAGAAAATTAAAAAGTGCAACACACCAAAAACCTCAGGAATACTGACAATAGTCTGTCTGATAAATTATTTTTAGATATTAATTTTATATTTCCATTTAAAAAGAAATAACGATTGTCTACATAGACAATAATCCAACTAGCCGAATTATCAGTTCCTGTAAATATTAAGACATGTAAGAGTTGAATTTGACAAAGTGTACGGGAAAATGACTGAGCTTTCAGAATAATGTTTTTCCTTTTACCAAAGGAAGTTTTTCAATTTATCATAAGATTTAACGTAGGTCGCGGGTTTACAGGGCTTTTAAAAGTGTTCGAAAACATACCATGAAAATTACTTATATGATTTCTCTACCTTTGATTTCCATTTTCTGAAAATTTTATAAAATTCGTGTGCACCGTTTCTGTGTAATTGAATTCAAAAGATGTCCTTGTTGTAGTTACATTTTCAACGGTATTCTATTGAATTGTATAGGGAAAACGTCGTTTTGGCTTGTTTTCAGGCAAGGTTTTGATTTAAAAAATATCAATAACTTTTAAATCGTGCAGACGAATTTGTTTATCCTTCGGTATTTAATAATAGAATTGATTTGAAATAAATCTATGTAAAAAAAATTAATATGTCTTCGGGTTAATTTTTTCGTAATTTAATTGTAGATAATCGCTTTTATATTGAAAAATGTAGCATTTTTAAGAACAACGTCATAAAATATCGCGACGTAACGCTTGACGTTTTGAATATCGATCCTGTATACAGAGCAAAAAAAAAATATACGGTTTTTAAGAAAAAAAACATTCACGTATATCTTCTTTAAAATGACCAGTATCATAATAATTCATTAAAATATTTATTAGACATTTTCCCTTTCAGCTTATTACGTCTAATATAACAAGTGAAAATTCACGTAAAAGGCGTAAACCAACAATCAGTCCTTTAGTTTCTTTTTTATACTTTCTATGTGTGTTTATTTTTTACTGTTTCTTTCTTTTTTTTTTATTTATGCACGGATTCTCGCCAGAATTTGCAAAATAAAATTGACCTTGTATTCCCCTCTGGAAAAGGCAGACTACCCATTCCCGTTGAAATCGCAGATCTGTGATCTAAGTTTGTTTGAAAAGTCGTAGGTATGAAGATAATTTAGAAGTCAAGGACTACTAACACCCCCAACCCCGAAATATGTTTTTACGCTTTGTATATATTCTTTTTCTTTAGAAAATTCAGCAAGGCTATCAAATAAACAATAACTTCTTATGAATCAATTTCCGCCAAATATCCTCCCGAGTGTAAGTATTAATGCATTCAGTGTTTTTATTGAAAATGTTTTTGTTTAAGTTTACAAAGAGGCAGCGAATAACTAAAATAAATCTAAACTTGATTTTATTTTATGCTTATACGTATAAGAATAGAAAAAAGCGTACTTAAAAGGAATTTTTAGAGGGGTAAATGGGGCGATAATTTAAACATTAATTTTATTTGGCGCAGTCAACAGGCAGATTTTATTTTGCTCTTAGACTTTCAATGTATACATATAACATTAATTCTACAGAATGAACGTGGAAAGCAACGCAGCGAATAAAATATGTACATGCAACTAACAACAACGCGTGCCATTACTTACAGGCACTTGGAGTATCGACCCCCCCCCCTTTCAGTTTTTCGGGGGGGGGGTCCTATTTTGGATTTTTAATACGTATTGCATGTTATTAATATGTTACCCTTTTATCTCTTTATGCTGTTTTTAAATACATATTTTTCGTTTAATCTTCACTTGCAAGATCACTATCTAAAGCGTAGAGAATCATGGAATATGCAGACATCGATAAATGTTAAATACGCTCTTCTTCCTTTAAAGATTTTCATTTATATAATTCTTTATGTGCCCACGATTAGTAAATATTTCGATTAAATCAACATGCACATATAGGGTGGAGTTAAAATTCTAAAACATTGGAAAAAGTTTAATCACCCCCGGCGTTAGAAAGTAAAAAATGGAAAGGAGGGAGGGGGTCATATCCTACGTACCTGTGGTTATTTACAAGAGGTCAATGCCGCTCAAAAAATGTTAATAATTTAGTTTATGTTTCACTGGTATTACCCCGGTAGTGCCTTAGCAGTTTTTAATTTGTGATCAACCTGTATCTAGATTTGTCCGAGATTAGCACATACCGTTTCATAATTGAGTTCGACTTTCCATTGGTGAGCAGAGTTTAACTTTTGACGCTGTTTACGGAGATAAATGAAAACAAAGACATGCATGCTATACATGTATATGGTTGTGTAGATAAATCATCGTAGAAGACAATGGTGATAGTTTGTTAGTGCATTTCTACTGAAAGTGTACACTTAAATGAGTGCCTTTCTGAGGAGGGGGTATCGAGTGTAATTCGGAGTTAGATAACCTATATTATAATTATACACATTTAATACATGTATTTAATATTTATAAATCATACATGATACAAGGGTTAAAATTTATTTTCGAAACAAGTACATGTGCTCTCAGAATAGACCCCGATTGATAACACATAATGAAACGCTTTCTAACACTTTCAGTGATGGTCATTCGAATCGAAATGAGTCTTCATTATTTTTTATAACTTCAGCATGTTCTATGAATATTGTTACACTAAACTACAAATTTCAACAAAAGTTATAGCTAGATAATGTACTGAATTTTTCCCTTTCTCACCGTGACACCACAATCAGATGTGCACAAGAAAGTCGCCCAAATCATATAAATTGCGTATCCAGTTTTAATGACGCCAGCAAACCCGCGACCTACGTTAATCGTATTATTCAGGGAGATTTTAAAAATCTGAAATATATATATTTTTTTAATTTCCTTTCACGCTGAGGAAATTGTTTGTAAGACTATATTTACATATTAAAGGAAATATAATTTCAATAAAAATGCATTTATTCTTTGTACTTCTTGTTGACTGTATATGTGTCAGTTTTCACAGGACCGTGTCTAAGACTTCAAACGATCTTGAATGATACTCAGATGCATGAAGTGACAATTCTAATTTCCTTTTAAATATTTACATGTACAAAACCGTTTCTAAGACTCCAAAAAATATTTATACGTACTGCGATGCATAAAATGAAAATTGTTGTACGAAAAAATTTCATTTCAACCTCAATTTTGAGACTTTATAATAGTTTTAACAGATTATATTTCCTCGTCGAGGAGTGAAAATTGATATGCAACTATTACACAATATTCAATCACACACAGTATTTAGTTTAATGTTCACTTAAGACTTTCACACACATGCATACACGCAACACCATTTTTTAAACTTTTTTTTTTTTTTTTTTTTTTGAATTTCCAGATGCACAAATTATTTTATTATTTAAATTAAGGACAGATGATACAAACAAACTTTTGTTAAATGAATTGAAAATAACGACTTGAGGTCCGAATTTAGAATTCCGACGCAAATAGGTTAAGGACTCTCATAGATACATCAGCTTATGCCGAGCTTCGGGAAATCGATTAGGAACTCAGGGTAAAACCGTACAAATAAATCTCGGCGAAAACTGTAAAATTACATATTTTCGAGGGGTCAAATTTTCGTGGTTTTAGGAAAATCTATTGATTCGGGGAATTTCATTTCTTGTATAAAGAAACACATGAGTACTTATGTATGTAACATTTTACATTTCGTTGTGGGCATGAATTTGTGGGTCTCTTCATACCTAGAAAACAGCGAAAATGAAACACCCCAAAAATTTGTGATTTCACAGTAATTAATATTTTTTTTTCAAACACTTTTACATACAGTCATTTCTCATAAATATTGTTAACATAAATCGATGTGTAACTTGTCATTTAAATATTTGAATGAAGAACTAAAACCACCTCGATCTCGCTTTACTTACTAAAATGACGTCACAGACTAGTTTGACACATAATTTCTCTATAATTGAGTCATATTTATTTATAATTGAGTCATACCGTCCTTTCTCACAAATATTGTAAACATAAATCGATGTGTTGCTTGTCATTTAAATTTTTGAATGAAGAACTAAAGCCATCTCGATCTCGCTTTACTTACTAAAATGACGCCACAGACTAGTTTGACACGTAATTTCTCTATAATTGAGTCATAGTTTGAATGCATTGATCACTATTTTACAGCCTTAATAAATTGAAAGGGAAAAGGCCTCAAATAAAGCCGCAGTAACTTCTGCCGGCAACCTTCTTCTTTAGGTTTGTCGTCAAGGTTCATACTAGCTTTACGATAGCAAAAATTCACATGACTGCTCATTCATTAATTTCATTCCAGAGTTCCACGTCTTGTTTCTGTGGAAACCTTACAAAAGGTCTGAGAAAGCCAGAGATAGATTGTTCTTGCTCATCTATGTCAGGAAACCCTGATCAGTTTTGTGGGGGACATTGGAGGATTAGCATCTATAAAAATCGTAAGAACAACATTTAATGTATTTTAATTTTCCATGTACATACACCTGTTCTGTTTATTAATCTGTAAATTATTAGTCTGGTTTAGCTTTTCACAAAATAATCGAAAAAATGTAACACACAATTAACTATGGTTTCAAGCGATGTTAAAAAATATAGATCGTTAATATCAGAAATCTAAACAAATTTCTTTAGAAAATCATTCCCCCATCCAAAGAAAAAAAAATATTAATATAAGCCCCTCTCCTTAAAAGCCAGTCTTATTAAAGTCTTCTTCTCTTTTACTGGGTAATAAACAAAAAGTCACATACATAGATATGATGAGGAAGGATGCCTCTTCAAATATTATAAATTTCATGGCCGCAGGGTCAGGGTTCTGAAGTAAGTGTGATGCTCTATTGTTTATTTAGAGAAAATGCATTACACAAAACCTATATATCTATCATAATTTTTTTAAACATCTTCCCTGCTACTGGCTATAAATTAAACAAACTGTACAGTAACTACGTGTAGTTGTGATGAGAAAGAATGCCTTTTGATAATTGCCAATTTTATGGCCGTGGGGTCAGGGGTGTTGGTGTTAGGGCGAGGTTCTATTGATAAATACAGTGAAAATGCATAATTTTTTTCTTTGAAAATCTTTTTCTCTGATCTTGGATATTAAACAAACAAATTTGATTTATAGTGATGAGGAAGGGTGTGTCAATTGTTGATTTCGGGATCCTTGAGTCAGGGGTTTGTTGTAAGGGTAGGGCTGCATTGATTACAGTACTGTATATAGTGAAAATGCATTATGTTTTAAAAAATCTTCTTCTCTGCTCGTGTGTATTAAACAAACTAACTACATAAATAGTTGTGATAAGAAAGGATGTTGCTTCGAAAATTGTGACATTCATGAACGTAGGATCAGGATTTCCGGTTAAAAGATAAGCTCTATTTAGTATATAGTGAAAATGCATTTATTCTTTGAATATCTAGCTCTTCTTCTCTGCTCCTGGGCATTAAGCAGATGAAATACCTATATATCTATGATAACTAAGTGCCTCTTTCAGAATGTGAATTTAAAGTCTCTTGAGTCAAGGGGTACAGTAGTGGGCTCTAATTATATAGCGAAAATGATTTAATTCTTTGAAATCTGCTACTTGGTTTTAATCAAATATTTATGATGAGCAAATTTAAGATGTCTTTTCCAAAGCTGTGAAATGTGTGAACTCTGGGTCAGGGTTCCCTGTAGATAGGGGGTACTACACGATTGTGTATAGAATAATACTAAAAACTTGAAAGGTATGCTTTTTGTTTCCCTATTCTTGCTATGGGTATTAAGAAATAAAACTAAGCATTGAAGTTTATAGTTATGATGAGCACTGGTGCCTCTTTTAAATTTGTGCATGTTATGCACATTGTTTTCAAACATGAACCAAACTGGATGGTTGGAAAGTTGCAGCATGATGCACAGGTGACCGATAAGCCTTTTGTATACTTTTAGGAATGTTTTTCCATAGCATAAATTACAGGTTCTTATTTTTTTATTTGGTTCATTAAAACTGAATTCACTTGTTCATAAATGAAATGCATATATTTACAATCGCATTTGCTATTTTCGAAAGTACAAGCATATGAAATCGAAGATTAACGTACATGTAATAGGATAAAATCGACTTTAACATTGTAATTTAATTCATTGCCTTGTTTCAGAATACATGTATAAATGACTGGTTAAAAAAATAATCAAATTTTAAAATTAAAATTTATGAAATTTTTCTTTGCCAAATGATAGTTGAAAGCTTAAGATATCATATTCCAAAATTTAAGTTATATATGGTGGTTAATAAAAAAAAAAATTTTTTTTGACCAACTAGTATCCTTAAGAAAAATTTTTCATTAAAGCATTGTTTTCAGCCAAAGGACTCGATATGTATAATAACGCTAAGATTACAATTCATCGTAGAGCTATGATGAAAAAAAATGAAAATTTAAAATAACGTTTTAGTTAACAGTTCCCAATTAAAGGACAAACTTTAGTAATGGAATGATATCAAACAAAAGCATTGTGGTAAAAGTTGGATTCAGGAGCAAAGTATTTAAACTTTTATACTGATTTATTTATTTATTTATTCACATAGGCTATACAATTCCATTTGAGTGTGAAGAGAACCTTTCACAAATAAAATGTTCACCGAAAGACGGAAAGAGAACCATTTGTGTTGTAAACAATGCAGAATTAGTCCTTAATGTTGCACCAAGTTCACGTAACCCTTCATGTGCACGCGGGGAGACGTATGGAAGACACGGGGATGAGATATGGGTTTCTGGAGAGTGTGCAGGGTTATTTACTGTCTGCTTTAAAAAAGGTACTGTCTTTCTTTCAACTTTGTATACCTTATGGAAATAAAATTAATCTATAAATATGTGAAACTTGTAATTACATTTGGAAATCGGTTCATTCAAGTGCATTTTACATATTCATCGAGTTCTTGTAAATGCCTACTATATTGTAAATATTTGTAATATTAGATATTCATATATATTAAAAGTATTATTAAGGGATACAGTTTAACTCAATATTGTGTAATGTTTCTTTCTCTGTTTTTGCAAGTGAAGAAAATGGACATCTCTAATGGTAAACAGCGAAAAACAGAGGAGTATTTTAAAAAACACATAACCTTGCAATTGGCTGAGTCTACATATTTACAAAATCATACAATTTGTTGAACATTGACAAACTTAAATAACCTGCATATTTTTATACAATGAATACATTAATATACAGTAAGATTTGTTTTGTATGAAAATCGTGTAGCAAATTTACGGTTATATCTAAGTTTGACATCTTTAGCAAAATTGAATTTAAAACAAATTTACAGATATAAAGATCTCACATATTTGGAGTTAAAGGATAAATTAACGGATTTTGTATCCCCTACGTAAAAAGGGAAAATTGCCCAAACTCGAAAATCCTATCTCGGGGGGGGGGAGAGCTTTTTTTTCAATGCCACCTTTCTTTCTCTTCCAACTTTTTTGCATAAATTACTACATTTTCTTGATATCACTTTACGGTTGTAAGAAGTGGGGGGACCAACCTTTCAATGAACATTTTCAATAGTAAAGGTTATGTTGGGGAAAAAGGTGGGGGCCCAGGCCTACGTGCCTGTATAGAGGAAAGTAAATCGGCAGGTCCCCAGGACCATTATATCCGAATTTAACTGTATCCTTAAAATCAATTCGATTGAATTCAAAATGTACAAAAATTGTTTTTTTTTAATTGTTTATGTGAATATATTTACCTTTCACAAAATTAGCTAGAAAACTTATGAAATTATGTTGAAATTTTCATTTTACATGTAAGTTATAAATTTTACTACATGTAATTACTTTCAAAGAGCTATACATACATGTAGATATTGTTTTATAGATCTATTTTCGTTAATGATGAAGATCCATGAGTGTTTGTGTTTAACCTTTTGACTACTTGAAAGTCTTTATATAAATTATTTTACAGATTGTATACGAACAGCGGACGGCCATGATTATAAAGGTAGCTGGAACAGAACACAATCTGGTAAATCCTGTCAGGAATGGTCCTCACGGTACCCACATAAACACAGATTCAACACTCTTACAAACAACTATTGCCGTAATCCCAATGGAATGCCCCACCCTTGGTGCTACACAAACGACCCTAAAACAAGATGGGAATTCTGTGGTCTACCACTTTGTGGTAAGACAAATATGGTTTTATCAACAATATTGTATTCAATTCTGTATTGATAATGCATTTTATACTGATACAGCGCATGCATTTTACTCTTAATTGTGTCAAAAAGATTTTTTCTTTAAACGAACAGCGATACATGCGATATGTCAACCAGAAATTAATTAAAGAGTTTAAATCTTTGAATGCAGACATATTACTATACATTATTACTGCTTAGTGAAGTGACTATTTTTGTATTATTAAGATATAAGCATCATACAACTGAATAAGAAAATTTATCGAATAAAACGTATTATATATTATCAAAATTGAAACAATTAAAACGTTCATTATTCGGATAAGTTTAAGATAATTAGATATAAATATTTATAGACAAATATTGATAAAATGAAATAATAAACAATAATTATCAAATAAAATGGTAATATATCACATACATCATACATGTGTTTGCGTTTATGATAAAACGTATCTTTGTCTATACCACAGCTCCTCCGACGTCAGAAAATGCAGAAGGTATATCTGTTTTTTCTCCTCTTAATTTTTATCTGTTACCTGTATCTACAGTATGCATCGATTTCTTTTTTTTTTTTCAAAAATACATCAACAAATTATATCAATTTCTCATTAACTTAACTTAGAATGTTTATTGGATCCAAGAGGAGAAACTTATTTGGGATTAAAGTCAACAACCAAGTCGGGCTTGACATGTCAAGCGTGGTCGATCCAGTCTCCCCACGCCCACGCCTTCAGTCGTCTCCTTGACAACCAGAAAAACTACTGCCGAAACCCAGATGGAGAGCTAAAACCCTGGTGCTATACGACCAACAAAACTAAACGTTTTGAACTTTGTGAAATCCCAGATTGTGGTAAGCTTTACTTCTCTACGATTTTTGTTATCATATTAATGCAGGATTAGAAAATCCGTCAAAAAGATGAATTTAAGCTTACATACATTGTACTTTTTTCATTTAATAAGTGATGTTTCACATTGTGTAATTAACTTTGGGTTATTCGGTTCATCTTATGAATAGAAAAGTCTAATACACGTAGACCTCTTTGTTTCTTAATATCTATCTTATCGACTTCCCGTGTTTCTCTCTGATATATTTATATCCTTTATAAGATTTAAAAGATATATCTTTGACTTTATTATTTATAGCTATTTAAAAATATTTCATGTAAAATTTAAAAGCTTAAAATTTAAAAAAATTACACTGAAAGATCAATAGATGGCTTGAATCTGAAATAAAAACTTTGAGTCTGTATGTTTCGAATTACTCCATCTGTCTATCATTAACACTTTAGAGGTTTTACTACTCGTCTATGCAGCTAATTCGTCAGTCCTTATTGAGCTAATTAAAAAAAAATGTTCGGCTTCCTACATGTGTTACATGTTCATATATGTGGGCTTCTTTTTTTCGATTCGTAAGAAAAGATCAGAATACAAATGCCGGTATGAACGTATTTTTATGTAATAATAAAAATAATAAATGTTTGTCATATATTTTTAGCTGCATGCAATATTTATCAGGAAGAGGGACCAGACTGCAAGGTCGTTTATAAAGTGTCAGGAAATTGCTATTACAAATCGCACTATAGAAATGAATGTAAATACACAGTGCGGCTCAGTAAAAGCAAGGAAGGTCAAGGAGAGGCGACCATTAAGTACGGAAAGGAATCCTTTAAAATCCTGAAAGATCAACACCTTCTGAAATGTGCGTATTTTAAGAATGTGGGTGATTACCTGCTCATCGAGGACAAGATGGCAGACAAATGCTGAATTAAAATAAATAATTATATGTTGTTCTACCTTTCTGAAAAAAAAATATCGTGAATAAATAGTTTTAACACGACCACCTGTTATTCAGTTTTTACCATGGCATTTTATGTGTGTAGATTATGCAAGAGATATTTTATTTGCTTTCAGAGACGAAATCATACATAAAATGGTTTATCAAGGGTAGTTACCGTGTGATTTGAGGAAGAATTCAGGGCGTTTATACCTTTTAAATTTTTAAGTTCATTATTTGAAACTGGAATCTATTTTATTTATGAAATCCCTTTCAGTTTCCCGAAGTACGATGAAAAAACATGGATTTTTAAAACTTTTTTCTCCTTCTGTATAAAAATCAATTAAATTAATTGAATGATGATCAAAAGTGCCTATTCCAAAATTATAAATTTTGTTTTCCCGGGATAAAGTATTCAGCGGGAACTCTGCTCCTAGGTATTAAACAGACGGATATGGAGATAGCGAACAGTATTCAAACTCAAAGTCCATAAAACAGTGAAAATTAGGAGAAAAAACGGACTACCGAAGCATCAGAGGTGGGAGCAGGTGCCACAGAGGAGTGATGAGCATCTCCTGCTAACGATCATACCCGCCATGTGTTTCTTGTCATGTTCAGAAAATAACGGAAAAATCCGTCGTCAATTCAGTGTTTAAATAATGAACTAACAAAAAGTATGAAAAACATCAGTCAGCATTTGACTCAATGATGAATTGTATTTGCTGACAAGGTCTTTGTATTGACAATAGAATTGACGAAATGATGACTTTAAACGAGACTGCTGATATTCTTGTTTTATCAATTTGCTTGTCAATAATGTATCCCGTCTTTAGAAATGCGTAGCGCATGCTCTTGCGTATCGAATCAACTAAAATATATATACTCCGTATGCAGGTGATGAAGGTATATTGCTGCATAATCAAGTGAAGTTGACGATAGAAAAGTTAAAGTCATCACGTTTATCATAGAGTTTGGCTGTTAGATTACCATTAACGTCTTTTTCAAGTTAAATATCCAAGTATGAAACAGATGTGTCAGACTCTGAGGTATTCTTTATATCAAGCTCACCAGGATATAACGTATCGACGTAGGAATGGAAATGACCATTGTTAAATGACAATACGTCGTCGATATATCTAAATGTCGAATTGAAGGCCACAGCAAGTGTTTTCTTATTTTCACGCATAAGATTTTGCACAAATTCTGCTTCATATGAATATAAAAATAGGTGTGCTTATAACGAGGCGCACTTGGTACCCAATGGAATTTCAATGAGGAAGTGCAGGATTATGATGATCAAGAGTGCCTCTTCCAACAAGAGGCCAATGGGCCTTATAGGTCACCTGAGCATCATGCAACAACTTTCAAATGATTGAATTTGGTTCATGTGTTTAGCTAGATGCTATGGCATTCACAAATTTGAAAGAGGAACAATTGCTAAGCATAACTATACACTATAGTATATATAGATAGTATATAAGTAGAGCCCCCCCCCCGCCAGTTTGGTATCCCTGACCCAGGGGCCTGGAAATTCACAATTCAGGAAGAAAAGCCCATCATAACCATATAAATAGTTAATCTGCTTATTACTCAGGAGTAGAAAAAAAAGATTTTTATAGATGTTATGTATTTTCACTATATATTCATTATAGAGCCACACCCTAACACCTTAACCCCTGACCCTGGGGCCATAAAATTCACAATTGTGGTAGAGGCACTCTTGCTCATCATAACTATGAACGTAATTAGTTTATTTAATACCCAGGAGCGGAGAAAAAAAATTCAAAGAATTAATGCATTTTCACTATATAATCAATAGAGCCCCGCCCTAGCAGTAGAACCCCTGACCCTGGGGCCATGAATTTCACAATCGTGGTAGAGGACTCAATGCTGATGTTTTAAGTTATGGAATTACCCAGATTGGACGTCATTTAGAGGGCATCATTTAAAAACGATATTTTCAAAGTGAATTCATTCTTTCGTGTTCCTTTCCATGTTCGTAAAGTTTTGCAAATAAAAGAACTTTATTTGGTAATAACCAATATTTGCCCCCCAAAATTAAACTTTGACGGGAAAAATTTAATTATGTTCTTAAAGGCATTGTAAATAATAAATTTACATTATCTTTACTTGTTTTGTAAAGCTGAATTTTCATGCAGTGAATTAATGCTGTAAGTTTTATAAAAAATAAATATCCATGTCATTTGATAAAAACAGTATATTGATGAAAGGTTTTCTTTCGTAAATTTGCTCTACGTACATGTACATGGAGATTACAAAATTATTCTAGCTCAAAAATTCATTTAATGAATACAAACTGTGAACAGAGAAAACACGAATATCTACAACGTAATAGGAGGGATCAGGTGTCACGGAGGAATGGGCATCCCCTCTGACTGGTCGCATTTGCCGAGTGCTTCTTCTCATGATCGGGAAATAACGAAAAAAAACTTTTTCAGCGTTATTGACAGCAAACTTCTGAATTCTTTTATTCTTTTGTTGCAAATACACAAATAGCTTACTTGCTATTGCGTAATACTGCACAGCTTTTAGCAAAAGATTTCTATGGCACATACTATAATTTCTTTTATTTGTGCCATCCATCCACCTGTGACCTTATAATATAAAAACTTAAAATACAAATCATTCTATTTTCAATTTCGTTTATTTTTACAAACCCACAAACTCTTGCAATAACTTAAAATTGCTTACAGTACAAATGTATCTTCCATCTCTCCTATGCAATCACGTCTCCAACGGCCCTTTTTCTCCGTTTCTCTAGCTGAATTCAGGTGCTTATTTGCTTATTTCATCTACACTCATCGTTTTATACTGATTGTTGTTCCCTTTAAGGAATTCTGTTCAATTCCGTGATGTCAAAATCTGATGAATATTCAGTTGGAAAATGGAAAATTTTTAAGTCAACTACAAGAATAAAAACTAGATACTTGCTATGGTAGAGTGTGTTCTAGGGAAAGAATGCTAGAATTTTCTTTAACCCATTTGAACACGTCATTACTTAAAACTAATTTGCATTGGCCATTATTCAGTACACAATTACCCGGTATCGAGACTTCCATTCCAAATCAAGCATTTTGTTTACATGTCGTAAGAATAATTATTTCTAGCTATACCTCGTAAAGCGAGAAATTAAAATTTTTCTTCGGACAAAATGTAGCTTTATCAGCTTCTCAATGGGTACAAACTGCGTCAGTTCGTACGATATGACAACATATTGACGAATAGGAAAATATTTACATCTGCTATTTTTTTAGGATTTAATCAGAAAAGCATTTTATAGCCATTTGAAAACACACATCACGTATTTCTTAACATCATGTATCATTGGGTTACGCAACACTTTTTTCATGTATAATCTTACATTGATTTCATTTTCTGTAACATGTCCGATAAGGCAAGTTTCGATCAAAGCATACTATTATTAATGAATTCCGAATTTTCATCTCTTGCAATTTCACCTTACTGTTTTTACAACACAGCTGGCCATAACACAGAGTCATTTATCTTTCCTCATATCCTTGTTTTACCTCTTCAGGAAATAGAGAAATATTATAAAGAGTTTTGGAAAGCAGTGCCAGATGAGGACAGAGATTGGTTAAGCGAATCTTTGAAAGATAGAGAATTCGACTATGCTATGGGTCTATTGGAACTTAACGACGAAACAAGAAAAAGTTTGGAATCAATGAAAACGTCCATAGTCAAACTATTCACAGATGAAATCAATACTAAAATTGAAATACCCTCTTCATGGGCTTTAATGGAACAGTTATTGTATGATGGAGGTTGGAAGGTTTTATCTCTTGGAAGCTCAACTCATCTCTTCCCCATGAATATCAAATAAAAGGTGAAGAGAAAATGTCTAAATTTTTAAAGTGTTTCCATGACAATGGACTTCTTTTGTACTATGAAGAAGAAACATTACGAGAGCATGTAGTTTTAGATATTCCATGGTTTGCTAATGCCTTCAACAAGATAATTGCTGATAAAAATCATATTAACATCGACTGCAAGCGTAGATTGGTCAAAGAATGGAAATCTTTCAACAACACAGAACTTGAAGCTAAAGTGATAGAGGCACTGTGGCAAGATGAGCCTTCATACTTGGAGCATAAAAGTGAAATTTTGTCATATATGGAGAAACTGCAAATGATGGTACCTCTGAGCTCTTTCGGAACTGATCCAAATCGTGACATGTCATGGTATGTTCCCTGTATGAACAAAAAACAGTTTAATTTTAATTTTTGTGAGGAAAAATGGGAATGTTCATCAATTTTGTGCTTCCGATTCAGTTCTTTTGCAATGTTAGTTTTCTACAGACTAGTAGCATATTGCATAAGTTTTCTTGGATGGAGTGTTTCAAAAGATGGCAATGATGAGGGAGCAGTATGCCTTTATCAAACTGCAGCAGTGTTTGATCACAATCAGCATACTATTGTTGTTGGTATGTTTAATGATGATATTCAGTTAAAAGTGCTTCGACTCAGAGGGTTAACAGTAGATAAAGAAGTATCATATGAAATTGGAGTCGAAGTTGAAAATGCCTTAGAAAAATTAACAGAAACCTTTCTTGACCGAAAGAATTCCAAAAAGGATTCAAATGTAAAAGCACTATTTGTTCTGACAAAGATCTTTCGTTCACTCTTGCAAGTGAGCTGTCAAAAATTACGACTGAAGAAACACAGTGTAAGTGTCAACTTCAGGAGAGACATTTGATTAATGTACAAGAACTCTAGGTTTCTGGGGAAAGGTAAGTTTTCCCTCCTTTTTAACACCCATCCCTCAACAAACACATTATGCTTGGTCTATAATAAGAAGGTGCCGTAAGTTTGTAGATTTAAGGAGATACTACTAGATGATTAGCGATGGAAAAGGTTACTTAAAAATTGATAGCTGATGAGGTTTGCTGTGTTATGTAACTGACTCATTGTCATTTGTTCGATGTCAGTGAAATAAAATGATAGCATTTATGCTCAGAAAAAAACAAAATTTTGTTGATCCTATACCAGTTACCTATACACAAAA